GGAAGCTGTACCAGAGGGAGACTGGGCCTTCTGTTCCACCATGGACAAGGGAGAGATGGGGCATTGCAGGGATGGATCTGGTCTTAGGCAGGTTTCATCTCCTTCTGAAGTAATTAGTTTCACTTCACACCATTGTAGACCCAACCTGGGGTTACTGCACTTCTTAGTTATGCACCTTAAGCTTCATGTGGTGACTTTAGGTCCTCATCCATGACTTCAGCTGCATTTCAGCTTTGGGAAGCTGAGGGGTGCAGCATAAAGAATGAGGCGTCCCCTTCCTGACTCCCATCAAACAATAAACTTTCGAACATCTCCCCCTTCTATTTTTAATTAGTCCTTGATTTTTGGCTATAGGGATTTCCAGCTTGGTGGTTGCCAGGACAACTGGAGGAAGCCTGGGTAGCATCCTCTTCATCTCTGCATATCCAAGGAGGGGACCAGTCCCTGAGGAACGGGCTTCCATCCAAGGCGGGATGTGTTAGCACATCTCCCTTGGGTGGAAACGAGGTGGAAAACTCTCAGCTGTGGGTAGGGGAAGACAAGTGAGAAAAGTCTTTAAGGAAGAGGAGAAGGAGGAAATCCAGCTCAGTAAGAAGTGTGAATTGGCAACAGCGCCATAACAAGGCTTTCCTCTCTCCCACACCACCCCGCTACCATCAGCTGAGACGTGGGTTTCCTGCAGTCTGGTTCTCAAATCAGATTTTGATGGGGTTTTCTTGGGCAGGGAAGCCTCAGTGTGAGGTTTCTACCCATGTACTACCACACAACAGTGCAGGGGATGAGCAGGGCAGGAAGGAATCATGCATTGAAGCATCTGCAGGCTCAGGGAGGGATGTGGGATTTGGGGAGAAGGCTAGTACCGCAGTTGCTAGGAGCTTGGTCCATCACTGGGTCCCTTTGAGGTTGTCTCAGGACATTTGCCATGCAGAAAGGATGAGCAAGATAGAAAGAGCAGAGACCTGCAGCCACTCTGGGTAGCGAAATGTGGGGGATGATGCTGCACCCCAACAGCTCCTGTTGAAATCAGTGGGTACAATGAGCCCCTCCCCAGACCTCATTTATTTTACCCCTGGGATATCTCCACACCACAATAGTTATAAAAATGCTCAATGGCTGAACCAGCCCAAGGGCTGCTTTCTCCTGATGGCTTTCCCTTTACTATCCCAAGTGCTGGTGCCAGTGTTTTCTGATCCATGGTGTTTCCTCCAGGTGAATCTCCCCTGTGCTTCAGCAGGATAACTCATCTCCCTTTTACAAGGGGATACCTTGGCTTCCTGCCTTTATCTGCGGAGCAGCTCGTAGGCAGCAATCCAAAGGCAATTTGATGCTGTTTCAAAAGCATGCTGTACACAGATGAACAGTAAATGCCTGCAGCGTGTTTCTTTCCTCCTTTCAAAGAGCACTATTGATTGCTCCACGCAATGACAAAGCATGCCTGGACCTGACTAAGCTCTTCCTTGATTATCTGGCAATGCAGGAGACTCTTTTCTTGGAGTGGAAGGTGACCAGCACCTTTATTTCTCCTATCTTTTATCAGAGCTATTGGCCAAGTGGTCTATTTGCCTATGAACGCTTCATGCTGCTCCATAAGGGAGTTTTTAGCTGGTAGTAATGGATTGCAGCTCATCAGCAAAGCAATTGCAAGCAAGTAAGGGAGTATTTGGGGCAGTGCTGGAGGATGGAAGAGGCAATAGATGCTGTGCAAATAGCTTAGCTGAGCTTTATGTCCTGCATTTCATCTGTGTAATGTCATGTCTTTGACGCTGGCTGCAGCAATGTGTGGTACAGTGGGAGTCACTTTATCTGCCCACTTATGGAGATCATTTCTGTAGCTGGTTGGGAATGGAATTCCCATGTCAGAGGGGTTTAAGCAGCTGCATGTGGAACCTCTGGCTTTGATTCTTATCTCAGTTCAAGGAATCATAGAATCCCAGACTGGTTTGGGTTGGAAGGGACCTTAAAGCTCATCCAGCTCCAGCCCATCACGGGCAGGGACCCCTTCCACTAGAGCAGCTTGCTCCAAGCCCCTGTGTCCAACCTGGCCTTGAACACTGCCAGGGATGGAGCAGGTACAGCTTCCTTGGGCACCCTGTGCCAGCACCTCAGCACCTTCATTATAACGTTTCTTCCTTATATCTAGTCTGAATCAGCCTTCTTTTAGTTTAAAGCCATTCCCCCTTGTCCTGTAGCAGGGCTACAGGCCCTGCTAAAAAGTCTGTTCCTAGTTAAAATGGGACTTTGGAAGTTGCCCTCTTGCTTTTCTTCAGGTGGCAGCAGGAGCCCATGAAGGTCTTAACAGTGCTGAGAAAGCCAAGTCTCACACTGATGTGTCTTTGGACCTGCTGAGGTCTGATCCAGCTCCCATCAGAGCCAACAGGATGCCATGAGGAACCGAGCTGGGCTTTTGAAGGAGAAGTCAGGAGACACTTTCCCTGTTGCAACATCAAGTGGGAACAGCTACTGGGTAGGATTTGAGAGAACACCAGTATCATAGTATCACAGCATCCAAGGATACAAGGGACATCAAGGATCATCTGGTCCAGCCTCCCTTGGCAAAGCATGACCTAGACTAGACATCCTAGCACCCTGTCCAGCCCATTCTTAACAATACCCAGCGTTGGGGAGTCACCGCTTCCCTGGGGAGATTATTCCAATGGCTTGTTGTTCTTACTGGGGAAAATTTACCTCTTGTTTCCAGTTGGAATCTCCCCAGCAGTAACTTGTGCCCATCACTCCTCGCCTTTTCCATGGGGCTCCTTGTCAAAAAGGAGTCTCCATCTTCTTTCCAGCCCCTCTTTAACTCCTGGCACATGGGAATAAGGTCTCCTCTGAGCCTTCTTTTCTCTATGCTGAACAAACCCAGCTCTCTCCGCCTGCCGTGAGACTGAGCTGACATTAGTGCAGGTGCTTCCCTGTAGCGAGACATTTAACATTTGAGGTTTCGCTTTTTGAGTTCCCAAATTGCTCCCTGCTGCTGTAATTTCCCCTGGTAATGAAACATTTCAGCTCATTCCAAGCGCAGCTCCATGGAAAAAGGAGGATTTAGTCTAGGAGGGTCTGCAGAAGGGAGCGAGTTATGGTCTGCCTGCACGAAACCAGGGGGGATCTGCCCTGATGTCGTTAAGAAAGGGGTATCTGGAGACGTGCCTGCAGAAAGGGGCTCTACCCCTGTGTCCCCTCTGCACACAGATGTGTTTGCTCAAGAAACAGTTGAGATGGGCTGGGACTGGGGCTCATCTCGCTGATCCTCTGTTGTTTCTATGCAATAATGCACCCCAGAGGACTGCGCGTTGGCCTTTAGCAACGCGCCGGTTGCAAGCGCGTTGGCCGCAGTCCCAATCTCTGCTCTCTATTTGCAGGAGCTACCACCAGACAAGTCCTATCAGTGATCGGGACAATGTTTTGGCAATGCTTTGTGATCCTTTTACACGTTGGCAAGTAATCCCTGGGAAGGAGAGCAGAGCCAGTGCTGGAAAGGGAGAGAAACCGCTGCCAAAGGCTGGGTGAGGGAGGATGAAGTGTGAACTCCTAGGAAATGGCCCTGGGAAGGTGCAAGGGCTGTGGGGAAGGCGCCTCAGCCAGATCAAAGAGTGTATAGGAAAGATGATCCCACCAGGAAGTGAATAAAGTGCTTTTAAGCGGCAGTGGGAAAGGTGAGAATAGAGAGCAGGGGGGCTGAGATGGGGATGGGAACGTGCATTTTAAAGGGGGTTTATTTTCTTTGGTTAAAGGAGTGCTTGGCACGTGGGTCTCTTTATCACCATGAGCAATGATGGCTCTGCTTGCTTGGTTTGGTGGGAGATTGCTGGCCTCTTGTAAGGCATGAGGAGCTGTCACCCATGACTGCGATGGGAACCAGAGGAAAGCCCTTGTTGACCTGTAGGATCTGGCATCCAATTTAACCCCTCCAGAGATGCAGAGCTAAAGCTGTTTTAGCTGGCTGTTGAAATCACTGCTGCTTACAGTTGTGTAGAGGATGTGTTAGGATGCGATCAGAAGAGGCCAGTGAAGTGCACATCAGCTCTCTTCCTCCCTTGTCTGTGATGATGAAGGGACAGAAACACCTTAGATGGAGGAAGTTCAAAACCAGAGTTAGGGAGAGCTCCCTGCTTGCTGCCATTGTTAATCACAGAGAATTCTTAATGTAATTAGCAAAGCCTCCCCAGAGGCTCTGTATGAAACAAATTGACTCCACTTGATGGCTGTGCAGGAGGCTGGGCCCACCACAGCAGAGTCTGGGTTAGACTGAGTGGTCCTTAGTTCCTCTGCTTCATCAGGCGAGGAGCCAAGGGGATGTTGTCCCTCCTGCCTGCCACCAGCCTGAGGAGCACTGGGTTTAGCCACCTGGTACGAAGCAATGATTTTACCTACCTAAACACTTCTGTATTAGCATCTGAAGTCTAAGCAAAGGAGACGTGCAGTTCATTTGGGCAGAAGGCAGCTCCTTTCTAGCTGTTCATCCTGGATGATGTTCTGATGATGCTGTTCTCTCTCTCCTCTATAGGAAATTTGAATGGAGCTTTGGTTTTTCCTTTCCTGATAAGGTTTTTGGACACCTAAGCCTCCCACTGGGTGCACAGCCTAAATGATTTCTCTAACCTCTCAGTGCAAGACTCCCAAACGCATGCCCTGACATGAAGACCTCTGTGTGCTGAAGTTTGCCAGGCTCTAAATGACTCAATGTTTGAGCTGTCATCTAGCTCCTTCTGTCGTCCACTCAGAAGGATAGATCTTGCTGATAGGCAAGTTCTTACTGTTCTTACAGCTGATTTCCTGTTGGTTCTTAACTTGGTTATATCTTCAAGACTGTTGACCCTGTTTGTTTTCTCCATTAAGTTCCCACTGGGGTTCATAACATGAAAGACAAGGTGTTTGGCACATCTATGCTGTTTGAGGTTATACTTAATCTATCCATTTGGAAAGACAGAAGAGAATACTGTACAACTTAAACAGTTACACATCTACAGCAGTTAAATCTATTTCCTTATCTTGTTTTCCAGGTCAACAATGCAGTTCCTAGCCTGGTTCAGTTTGCTGCTTCTACTTCCTTGTTGCAGTACCACCAAGACCTGCTTCCCCGGCTGCCACTGTGAAGTGGAAAGCTTTGGTCTCTTTGACAGCTTTAGCCTGACCAAGGTGGACTGCAGCGGGATAGGCTCACACATTGTTCCCGTCCCAATCCCTCTGGATACCTCCTACTTGGATCTATCATCAAACAAACTGGAAACAATCAATGAATCGAAGCTCACCGGCCCTGGATACACCACCTTGGTGAGCCTTGACCTGAGCTACAATAAGATTGCCAAGATTTCCTCCACAACCTTCTCCAGGCTTCGATACCTGGAGTCCTTGGACCTGAGTCATAACTCTTTGGAAGTCCTTCCGGAGGACTGTTTCTCCAGTTCTCCTTTGGGCGACATAGATTTGAGCAATAACAAGCTCTCGGATATAGCGATGGACATTTTTGCTTCAAAAGGCCAAGGAAAACCCTTGAATGTGGATCTATCCAATAATATGCTCAGCACAATTACGAGACACCGTGAAAAGAGCATCCCAAATATCCAGAACTTGAATCTTTCTGGGAACAGGCTGACGTCTGTGCCAAACCTTCAAGGCATCCCTCTCCGATACTTAAATCTTGATGGGAACCCCATAGTCAAAGTTGAGAAAGGAGACTTCATGGGGCTGAAAGATCTGATCCATTTATCCCTCAGTGGCCTGCATGGCTTGGAAGAGTTCTCTCCTTATAGCTTCAAGGAACTACCAGCCCTCCAAGTACTGGATTTATCCAACAATCCCAACCTGAAGTCACTGACTGCTGAAGTGATCTTTGGGCTGAACTCCCTACAAGAGCTCAACCTCTCCGGCACAGGCGTGTCGTCCTTGCCAAAGACTGTGCTGAAATACCTGCCTTCCATCAAAAGCATCACCTTGGGGAAGAACATACAGTGTCTTAAGACCATCAAAGAAGGACAGTACCACCGACAAATCGGGCTGACCAAAAAAGAGGTCCTCAGTTGCCACGATAGCCACGGATCCGTAGCAGCAGCACCTTATGTTTTGTGATGAAAGCTGGGGAGAAGGTGGGGAAGGGAGGGTGGGGGGCCATGGGGTTTGTACAGGATCGGACTGAGAGGGTTTGCAGTGTGCCTTTTGTAAGACTGCCAATAATTTATATATTTGTATAAGCCAATATTTGATTGTTTGTGGATTTTATAAACTCTCAAACCCTGGCTCACGTCATCTGCAATGCTCCAGTTTTTACCCTTGAAGTCCTGCACACAGCCCCTTGGCTCAAGAGTGGTAATGCTGGATAATGGGGACCGAGCTGCTCTGCAGGTCCCAGGGCAGAACAATAGGTCTGGAGCAACCTTTTGTGTCCCAAAACAAGGTCATTTGTGTCCACACCAAAACACACTGACTCTATAGCTGCTTGCTTACAAACCCATGCACCATCCTTTTGTATTAACTATTACTCCCCAAGAAGTGCCTTCTGGATGTTGCCTTCATTAGCAGCACCCTGGTCCCTGTCATGCACTTTCAGTCTTGAAGAAACCTTTCCAGACAAACCTGAACACAGGGTGCTCCTAATGGGCTGGTTTTTACATGTTATTTGCATGTGCGTGCAATGACCATTAAGACAAGAACTTTCCCCACTGTTTTCTCCCTGTTTTCCCATCATTTCTTTAGATCCAACCTTTCTAACCTTAGCGAGCCGTTGCTCGGAGATGATGCTCAGCAAAGCAAGAGGGAAGCAGAGGGGTTTGCCAACAGCCACGTCTCACCCAGGAACCAGCCTCTGAGGAAGCAAATTGAGTTGCAAAGTAAAGAGATCATGTAGCCTGGCATAAAATAGTAATAAACATCCCTCTTCCCTTTCTGGGAAAGCTTGGAAAAAAACCTGAGCAGGGATCCCCATCTCGACAACCTTATCAAACCAAGCCCCACAGGATGTGAGACTAAGCTGTTTCCATGCTGATGTTCCCCATCTGAACACAACATCTGCAGCTCAGCCGGGAGCATGTGAGGCAGTTTTCAACACCAAAACACTCTCTGGAGCATGCCAGGAGGATTGACACTGATGCCTGCGCCCCTGCAGCGCTTTGCCTATCAGGGGAAAGATCTTGTTGGGTTTTAGTTCCATGTTGTGGCTTTTCTTTCTCTCCCATAGCTCTTTGGCTGCCAACCGCAGTCTGATAGAAAGCCTGGTCCTTAGAGGTTTGCTCATGTTTTCCTTTGTTTCTGAGATGCTGGAAAAGCAAAGGGGAGCCCCCCTGGTCCCTCTTCTTTTACTGCTTTTAGAAGAGGGGAATGCTCCATCCCTGGCAATGTTTAAAGCCAGGTTGGACAGAGCCTTGGGTGACATGGTCTAGGGTGAGGCATCCCTGCCCATGGCAGGGGGTTGGAACTGAATGATCTTAAGGTCCTTTCCAACCCAATTCTATGATATATGTACTATGGTAGAATCAGGAGGAAATGAGGGAAGGCAGCACAACTCGACTCAGTGCCATGTATGAAGCCTTCAACTTGCTTATAGGAGCTCCTGCAGTCTGGTCCATCTCTGGTATGCTCTGTTCAGGGGATGGGAAGGATGGGGCTCCAACTTGGGCTTATCAACAGCATGGTCTCTAAACCCAGACTTACATGAAGTTGACTTTCAATGTCTGAAACTCATTTAGGGAGGTCCATGTAAAGATGATGCAGATATAAACCCATCCCCAAACCTTCCTTGGGAGTGCTGGAAGAAGCTCAGGCTTCATCCTCACTCCCCTAAAGGTCTTGGAAATGGAAACCCTATTAGCCAAAGGAGCTGCCTCCAGGGATGGTTGAAACTCACTGAGCCCATAAAGGAGCCAACACCTCGCTTTGGGTGCTGAAATCACTCTCCCACATTTTCATCGACCTCCTTTCCTTTGGGGACCTTAGGGTGGGATTTTAACCCTTTCCTGTCAGTGCTGGAGCTTTTTGCCCCTCTCCTGACTCTTTGCAATGCTCGAGCAACCTTCACAGGCACAAAACCCCATAGATTTTCTTAAAAAGGCAACAGGACTGCTCATAAGCAGGGGTCTGGAAGGGAACAACAACCAACTGAAGTGCAGGATGGGGGTAATTTGGGAGGAAAGGGGTGTTTTTAGTGAATTTTGCCTTTTTAAGGGAATTCTTTTCTGCTGGCAGAAAATACAGGGTTTTTTGTTTTTTTTTTAAGGAATTGTTTCATTTTATAGGTCTACATAGATGAACTGCTACAGACATCACAAACTGTCTTTGTGCCACTGTGGTAAGTTGAAAACCCAGTGTGACAATGCAGTTGAAGCCTGCAACCTCACAATAGCTGGTAGCTAAGCAAGCCTTGACAGAAGCTGGCAAGTCCCGTTGCTGTGTTAGTGTTGGGCTTATTTTAAAGACCCTCTGCAGCATTGTAAGGCTTTGTGATTTATCACAACGTAATAAAGTGATTTGGAGGAGAATAAACCCACATCCCCAAGGTTTATTGCCTTAGTGCTGGGAGGGCAGTAGCTGCTGGGGCCAAAGTGCAGGACTTGCTCTGCTCAGCCCTACCAGCCTCATGAGTGTTGTATCTCCAAGCTGGGGTAAGGGTTTGTCCCGCTGTGTTTGGCTCATTGGGGTCCTCATTGGCAGAAAGGCTTGAGAGCATCACTGGTTGGTTCAAAGGATATTGTGGACTCATGGCAACGAAGTAGCATAAGAGCAAATTTCCTGCTCCAAAGCTTGGCAGAGATGGTTGGACAGAGCCTTGGGTATCATCGTCTAGTGTGAGGCATCCCCGCGCATGGCAGGGGGTTGGAACTGGATGATCCTAAGGTCCTTTCCAACCCAAACCTATGATTCTATGGTGGAGAATCTCTTCGTGGGTTTGGCCAATCTACAACATGGTCTGCTAGGGTTGAAAGGCTGGGTTTGCAAAGGGGGTGATGTGGGGGGAGCCCATAATCTTGTTTCATACAACCAGGGGGTTAAAAGAAGTGAGTGTTCTTTACTGTGAGGGTGCTGAGGTGCTGGCACAGGGTGCCCAGAGAAGCTGTGGCTGCCCCATCCCTGGCAGTGTTCAAGGCCAGGTTGGACACAGGGGCTTGGAGCAAGCTGCTCTAGTGGAAGGGGTCCCTGCCCGTGGCAGGGGTTGGAGCTGGATGAGCTTTAAGGTCCCTTCCAACCCAAACCATTCCATGATTCTATGATGCTATGAATGTGTGCAGGAGTGAGGCCATGGCATGGAAAGCTGCAGAGCCTTCAGCAGTGAGATACACGTGGTCCAGTCCCAGCACTGCTCTCTGAGGAGCGGAGGCTGCTCCATGGAGGGCTAAGATCATGCAGAGCCATTGCAATAAGGAATAAACAGAAGCCTCTCAGGAGGGCTTTGCCTGCTCATAAATAGCAGATTTAATTCTAAGCATTTCTCAGTGCTGTGTATAAGAGCAGAGCCGCAGTGAGGAAACCTCAGCCTCTGGGAAGCTGCAGTGTTCCCGGTCCTCCCAAGCCTGAAGGAACAATTGAATCTTCCACCCAGGCAGGCAGAGCTGCAGGCTGCTGGGAAGAGGCTGTTCTGAGTGGGGAGGCAGAGGTTCTCCATCTGCTTCCTCTAAGATGGGTCCAGGAGGGGACAGATCTTGCTCTCAGCACTGTTATGGACTATAGGTGAAAGCCCATCTCTAACTCTTAGAGGCGATTGCTCCTCTGGTGTCCATGAGGCTGTGATCATGAGCCTACACCACCATACCCCTTCTGGATGAAGAGTCCCTCCCCAGCATCCTTATAGCCCCCTTCAGACACTGGAAGCTGCTCTGAGGTCTCCATGCAGCTTCTCTTCTCCAGGCTCAACAGCCCCAACTTTCTCAGCCTGTCTCCATACAGGAGCTGCTCCAGTCCTGATCATCCTTGTGGCCTCCTCTGGACTTGTTCCAACAGCTCCCTGAAGCTGCTGTCAGCTTGATAACACAGTGCAATGGACTAAACCTTGGTGCCATGCCAGGAGAGCTGGTTAGCTGCAGGTTCCTGCTGTCCCCAGGACCAGCTCAGCTCTGTGGCCAGATACACTTGCCCTGGCAAGCAAGATGGGTGTTTTAATGAGAGCCTGAGTATATTTAGAAGCAGGAAAACCTCAGTGCAGGCCAGGCAACAAGGACAGACAGGGTTAGAGAGGGGAAGAAGTGGCTGAGCTGGCATTTGCTCGCAGTGCTGTGTCTCCTGGAGGGTCATCAGCATCTCACCCCTCTTCCGAGCACATTGGGAAAGACACCAAGGATTGCTCCCCTTCTTCTGCCTCATGCCCAGGGCAGCGTTAGGACAACCTTCTCTTTGTGTTGGGCATCTCTTGGTATCTAAAAGCTCCCATTTTCTTCTCCTGGCTGTCAGCTGTCAGCCTACAGAAATCCCTCGCTGAATCATTATGTGACTGACTTCATAGCAGTAGGTGCCTTCCCTGTTAAACATAGCTGCTCCTCTCTATGTTCTCCATTCTGCAGGAGGATGGAAAGCACGGATGCACTCGTGCCATGCCAGAAAATAAAGCTGCATGGCTGGGCATAATCCCTCTCGCTGCCCCGGGAAAGCTTTGGGGCAGCATCCTCTGTCCCATGTATGTAGCTAGAGGCAGCACCGCTGCGCTATTCCTGCCCTATTTCCCCATAGGCATCCCCTTCCTTCCCTTTTTGAGTGGACAAGCAGACCTGGGAAGCTGATGAAAAGGTGGAAAAGTGGAGCTGAAACTAGGCCATCAGATAAATCCTTTCCTGTAATAAGCAGGGAGCGGGAGCACCGGCCCTTAATCCCAGCCTTTGTTTCCTAGCATTTGTATGCCTGTGTGCACGCATCCCTCAGTGCCAAAACAAACCCAGCCCCTCCTGCCCCATCTCCATCCCTGCTCTGCCTTTCATTAATGGCATTAGAAATGGTTCATTCTGACACAGAGCAGCACCCCTTGGAAGCAGCAGCCTGCAGTGCCAGGCACTGAGCATCCTTCAAACCCCATTGCTAGCCACAAAGGGGGTACGGGTAGGGGATGTGCTGCTGCTCTATCCCCTCCAGTGGTCCGGCCTCCACTCTGGATGCACCCCAATGGAATGAATCAGCATGAAACAACCCAAACTTCACCCCTGGAAACTTTCCCACCACTGTGGTGATGTTCTTTTACCCCAGCACTGCCCTCCTGGACCTCTGCACCATGTTCTCCCCTCC